GGTTATCCTAATAGCCCGCTTGCGCATGGGCCAATAGGAAGCGACAAAGCGGATATAGACCGCTTGTCCTTAAATACGATGCCGCAGACAGAAGTTGGAACTGGCTGCAGACGAGGTTGCCTTGACGCACACACACAGACGACCTGCTGCCCACGGACAGAAGTTGCTGGACACGTGGAAGACTGGCTGCACACGGGAACAACTTGACGGATACGTGAACGAACTTGTTCTCTGCTATCCTGTCTGTCTTCTATTCTACAAACAGCCGGGAGAGATACCAAGTAGCGATGCAGGTGAACACACAAGATCATAGCATGCACGTAGCAGCTTCCTAATTCTCAACTGAGGTGATCGTGTGAGCACCTGGGTTCTCCTTGGAGAATATTTGTGAGCACGCTGGCTCTGTACGGAGGATGCAGACCAGCAGATGCAGGCAGAGTACGCCGGAATAGCCCCCCTTGGCGATAGATTTGAGGTTCTCACGAGCGGATAGACCAACAATGCTATTTGATCTGATCCAGGAATTTAGGAACTGAGTGGGCACACCCGCTCTTGTGCAGAACCGGTAGTCATTGGCTCTTCACATGCCAATCAGGACGCCTCCAGGATAACTTTTCTACGTTCTGTAAGCGCCAAGTTAGATTTAGATATTGTAGTACGTCTAAAGTTGGCCTGAAAACGACTAATGGTACTACTTCGCGACAAAAAGGCATGCTAGAAAGTGCGATTATTATTTAATAACGTTTCGTTAACCCATAATGTTACTATTTGCCACGATAAAGTTTGCGACTGCATACTAGGGACCGATTTCCTCCGGGCAAATTCAAGTGCGCGGTAAATTCAAGCGATTATATGCTCCACTTCTTTGGCACTGAAGTGCCCCTACGCAAACAGCCGCTAAAGTTCACACCTTCAAGTTAGAAGCACGTGCTAAGACGTTGGTCCCAGATAGGGCAGGGAGTGTAATATATCTGTAGCAGTCTTAGTTGTGGTGCGCTTAGAACACTACAATCATCAGGCCGAATCCCGGATTGAGAGTTAATACCAAAAGTCAGCAGCATGAGGGCTTTATTGTACGCAGAACCCTATGTTGCTGCCTCAGGCAGCCGTGGCCACTGGCGAAGCCAGGGCTGAGGTTGACTGCGTCCAGTCTTGCCTCAGAGTGTGTTTTGCGAGGGGGTGATGATGACAGCTGCTTTTAAATGACTGCGAAGCGGGCTTAAGTGGTCTACTATTGGTGCGTTGCAATTCCCCAAAGGCATGCCGCTTGTAGAGGACCCCTGCTGCGTGGCCACGACTTGATATGAGAGATGTTCATATCCTGGTACGTATACGCGAGCTCAGCGAAGTATTTTAGTCTAAAGACGAATCTCTCAATGGACATCGAACAGGAGTAACCTAAAAGAATTTAGAATGAAAGCCTGTCACTATGTGGATAACCACCTGTCAGGTGGTAAGTCAGCACAAGAATATTCCGCACGCTGATGTTCAGTTAATGTTTAAATTGCTACTTTATGTTTGGTAGTAAACATATTTTTTTTAAACAAGTTTTCTTCGTTGCTGCATTTTCATTTTCGCATGGTAAGTCTCCATGCCGTTATACTGAATAGAAATTAGCGCTGTTAAAAGCATGCGCTCTCGTCTCGCTTTGCTGAAAAATGAAGCCCCTAGAATTTCAAACGTAGACACACTGGTCACGATAGCTAAGACGGTGCCAACCGGTGGAATAAACTAGTGTTAAAATTCGGCAGAGAAATGTAAGGCGCTGTGGTCTTACGGCAATAAATTGGCCACGGTACCAGCGCAAAAGCATGAAAAGTAAATGGGACAGGAGAGCAGAGAGGAGTAATACAGTCCACGCCAAACTAGTACAATAAAAAGTGCTTACTATTCTGAAATAAGTAGGCAGTTATGTGAAGTATTTTATACTGATACCGAGAGGTGAGAGGTAGACTTACATAAATGATCTCCTGCAGCGGACATGGTGGTGGCAGCAGCAACTGAACTTGAAAGCCACCCAGTGACATTTTTCTGGTGGAGTACAAAATCTTCAGGGTGTAGGAGGCATCCGTTTTCAGGGTAGAAACGTACCTAGGTGGAGTAAGGAGGCACAAAATGTACTTGGACTGTCGTGACACCTGCTGCCATCAAAAGGAACCATTGCTGGAGCGTGAACCTCAACAAATTAGCAACTCGTCATCGAAATTCACACAGACTAGCGCGATTTGAAAGGGCTTGGCTTGAATATCAGCCGGGCAACGTGTTGGTGATTTAAGGCAGTTCAAGTATTTGAGAAGCAGAAGATCTGACCGCTGGGACAAGACTGACGTTTCGAATTCCGCCGCGGATCCTTCCTCAGTGACAGAGACAATAGCAGAAGCGGGTAACTCGTGCAAAGGGAGTTTCAGTGTTTATACAATACAGTCGCTGTGTCACCTATGACAGATAACAGTTCTCCTTTATCGAGGATAGTTGAGTGCTTGTGCACTAACTGCTTGATGGCCGGCGTGCAGGTCATGGCCTGCTCAACCTTTATCACATACAGTAGACGCCAAAGATCATGCAAAATTTCGACATATGCGAAAGTCTGATACCCTTTCGCTAATCGCCATTGACTCAATTTGTGATACTGATTATCGTGTAGTCTATTCTGATGTCATTTCAGTTAGGATAGGATGCGGGCTTTTTAACGAGCTTCGTTCCGACTCCTAGCAAAACGGGTCTATTGTAAAAACTGACTACTTAAGTAGTATGCCTTTTAATCATTGATCTTGACAGCCTTTATAAATTCAAATACATTTGGTAGGATTGTGTCGTGGGGTCGTCTGGGGAAAGTGTGAAGCGCGCCCCGCAGGCTGACGAACGCATGATTTTTGGAGAGGGGACGGGCGGGGCATGCCAGGGAAGAAATTAGAACACAATATGTATGTCCGATGAAAAAGTTACGAGGGCAAGTTGGGTCGCGTACTCAAACCTTGGGAGAAGGTACTGAAGTTAGCTTAAATATCATCGCTAACCCCCAGCCCGACCAACGGCGAACGCGTACATGAAGGAGGGTGTGCCCAAACATCGGGCGAGGTCACTGAGAGTAATTGTCTACGGGTATCACTAACACCAGCTAGGAAAAAATCGTAACAAAGTACAAAAGGCAGGGAGATAAGGCAAATCACCCTACTGAAAATTTGTAAGTAGGCGGTATTTCCCGTGGGTAGTTCAAAAGGCTAAATTTGCTTAGTTTGGCGATTTTAGCAGTTATGGAATGTGTTTGCCTTCGG